TGAGCTTTTCCATGGGAAACTGAGGGGGAGAGGAGTCAGGAAAACACAAAACTCTTCTTCCCATGCCAAGACAAAGTCCTCTTCAGCCTGGTGGCTCTGCACCATCCTCCAGCCTTCTCTGCCCCTCTCCCACCAGCTCAGCCTCAGTGCCACAAAATCCAACTGCACCTTCAAATGTTGGGATAATTCTTAGGGCACAGCTCAAGTTTGGAGTTCTGTAGGTTTTTGGGTGTCCAGGGTGGGGTGGGATGATGTAGCTGAAGATCTGACCTACTTGGACCTCCTTGGCACCACCTGCTGCAGGTTGCCCACAGGGAATGGTGCCTGGGACCTGGGACCAGGCAGGAGGAGGATGTTAGGCTGCACACTAAGGTCTGGTGGTGCTCTGGAGACCCTCAAGGGTTTGTTGCTTGTGGAAGAGCTTGGGATGGCAGAGACTGGATGGGATTGGGATGAAAGGAGGTGTTTTGGGGCCACCACACTTCTCACAGCAGTAGAATGGAACTGGTCTAGTGGGAAATTGTCCCTGCTCAGGGCAGAGGGTTGGGACTAGATGATCTCTAAGATCCATTCCAACCCCTAAGATTCTATTATTCTATGATTGTTTCCTCTTGGGAAACCAAAGTTTCCCTTCAGTTTTCTGCCTCAACCTTAGGAAGAGAACAATGCAAAGCTTTGCTCAACTTTGGGCAGAAGATACTGTCAAATATTTGCTCATGGTTTATTCCTGGAAGTGCCTTCTCCTGTGCAGTTGGTCTCTTCTTAATGCCTGTTAAAGTTGAGGGAGATCTAGTCCTACTTCAGACTCAGGGAATGCTCAACTGACTGGGCTGAAGGAGAGGGATGAAAGCCAGAGCTGATCTTCACCCTTAGAACATGCTGAGGTCAGACATCTCTTCAGCTGAAGCGTTTGGGCCTGGTCCCACTGCAGCCAGGAGAACTGGAGGAGCTCCAAGAGCTGAGGATCCAGAGCTGCACAAGACCAGGAGGTTTCTCTCTTTGCCTGGTGGCAGCAGTAGCTAATCAGAAGGCAATTGGGTGGTGGTTCTTGGTGGTTCTGGTGTCTTCTCTGCACATCTCAGTGTGTCTACTCCAGTTAAACCCAGAGATGGACATGGGTTACTTCCCCTGGTGGTTCTTGGTGGTTCTGATGCCTTCTCTGCACATCTCAGTGTGTCTACTCCAGTTAAACCCAGAGATGGACATGGGTCACTTCCCCTGATGGTTCTTGGAGGTTCTGGTGTCTTCTCTGCACATCTCAGTGTGATTTTAGAGTTAAACCCAGAGATGGACATCAGGTTCTAATGCCCTGATGGCCCTTGGGGTGTTCTGAAACCCAGAGATGGACATGGGTCACTTCCCCTGATGGTTCTTGGAGGTTCTAATGTCTTCCCTGCACATCTCAGTGTGGTTTTACAGTTAAACCCAAAGGTGGACATGGGTCACTTCCCCTGATGGTCCCTGGGGTGTTCTGAAACCCAGAGATGGACATGGGTCACTTCCCCTGGTGGTTCTTGGTGGTTCTGGTGCCTTCCCTGCACATCTCAGTGTGTCTACTCCAGTTAAACCCAGAGATGGACATGGGTTACTTCCCCTGGTGGTTCTTGGTGGTTCTGGTGCCTTCTCTGCACATCTCAGTGTGTCTACTCCAGTTAAACCCAGAGATGGACATAGGTCACTTCCCCTGATGGTTCTTGGAGGTTCTGGTGTCTTCTCTGCACATCTTAGTGTGATTTTAGAGTTAAACCCAGAGATGGACATCAGGTTCTAATGCCCTGATGGCCCTTGGGGTGTTCTGAAACCCAGAGATGGACATGGGTCACTTCCCCTGATGGTTCTTGGAGGTTCTGGTGTCTTCCCTGCACATCTCAGTGTGTCTACTCCAGTTAAACCCAGAGGTGAACATGAGCCACTTCCCCATTGACTTTGGGACAAGGCCTGGTTTGTCCCAGGAGAATCCAACCAAAAGGCTCAACCTTTGGGCTTTGAGTCCCTTCATCTATTTCTTCTCAGGTTCTTTTAATCTTTGAGTCCCTTGACCAGAGAAGATGAACCCTGGAGCAGACACAGCCATAAATCCAAAGGGATCCTATCCATGTTTTTCATCCCTCAGGGTCTCAAAGCAACTCATCCCAACCCCAGAGCTGATTGCTGCTGTAGAAAACCCTTGGTGGACCCTCAAAAGGTCTCAGAGCACAGAGGGTTGGGCAGGAGCAGCCTGGAGGCTGCAATTTTTAGCTGTGGAGTTATGCAACTGTGGAGAAGAGATGACTAATGTGCAAAAAAGCTCCTGTAAAACAACCAAACCCCAAAAGGGAGACAGAGGGAAATCAGTGGGAGGCACCAAACTGCTGCAAAAACCCCATGGCATCTTCTCCCTTCCTTCTCCTGAGCAAGTGCTTTGGGAACAAACAGCTTGGGGGTATTTTTAGGTGGGGTCTGGGGTGGCTTTGGGGGCGAGTTAGGAGGGGTTGATCCCCTTGGATAAGATTAGAAGAGGAACATGTGTGGATCAGCCCTGGAAATATCTGTGTAGCCCAAGGATTTCTCTCCAAATTGGCCAAAATTGGCTGCTTGGAGAATGGGATAAGAATAGAGTAAGAAGCTCCACTACTTCCCTCAAATATCCTCCAGGGCTTAGCTGTGTTTAGGGATGTGGTAGGAGTTGCACGTTCCAGCCCAAGGAAAAAGGTTGGATTTCTTCCTGAGAAGCTGGAGAAATCCATAGGAGTCCTGAGATGGCATTTCCAAACAGAGCAGGGAATGTTGTGGGGCATCCCAGGCTGGATAGGAGAGGTTCCCATGGGATGGGGGAGTCTTGTTTGCAGTGGAGTGATGGGATTGAGCTGGAAAATCAGATTTTCACACACTGGGTGTGTTCTATGTGTGTCCCTTGGCTATGGATCATGGGATGTCTGGAACTGTGGGACATGGGGATGTTTAGTGTCCTGTGTCCCATAGCAGGA